AGAGTATTAAACTCTTTTTTTTTTGCTATATATATATATATATATATATATATATATTCATTTTTATTTACTAAAAATATTACAACACAAAGCAAAAATAAAATTTAAGTTCATAAATATAATTTATATTATATTAATAACTAACTATATATAAGAACGTGTCCATAATGTGCTGTGACAATTTTTTCAATTGCCTGTCATCTCGTGTTTGTGTTCCTGTATCCGTGCTTCATAAATTATAACCAAACAACAATGTAATCAGGCAGAGAAACAAATATAAAAAAAAAGAGGACTGAGGGAGCAGTGACAAAATATGAAAGAAGAGATGCAAAAATAGAATGATAGAGAGGAACAAGGAATGTGCACAAGATAAGAAAAAATTGGGTCAAAATATCCTGATCAAAGTTTGGTCACGAAGTTTTTAGAACTCCTGGATTTGCTTTAAAATGAATGCAATACATGAGTTCATCATCTATCTTAAAGTAAATCTAAAGGTTTTAACTCATCCTGACCAAATTTTGGTCAGAATATACTCAGCTGATTTTTCAAATAAAAAAAAAGTGAGAGAATGCGAAAGAAACAAATGAAAAAAGAGAAATAAAAAGACAAATGAAAGAAAAAGAGCTGAGATATAAATACTCAATCATCCCATTTTACCTCCACCCTGATCTTTTCTATTCCTCTCCTCCCTCTTTCAACATCTTTCACTCCCCTACCCTAACCGCAACTTTTTATCATCGATGTTCCCATGGCTCTCTTTTTTATTCTCTTTTCAATATTGAAGCACATTATTAATACAGTATATTCTGCACATACAAGCGGCCATTCTGGAACCAATGGAGGACCATGAGTAAGTTTTGGTATTGTGTGATCTGCAAGCTAGGTTCATAATGTTTGCTTCCTTAGGGACCACCTCCTCATAATACACCATCAATTCAAGGATTTGTACAATCTTTTTTGGGCTCAAAAAGAAGTTCTTACATAAAAAAGATAGCAACCTACCAAGCCATGCTTGCAAGTTTAGGGTTGCATTCTAGAGCATAGGCCAGAAACTCGCATGTCTCCAACTCAATATCAGATTGCTTCTTAAATTGCACCGTATACATGTGAACAGGCGTGTGCCTGATTGTCATGAAAATACTAGAGCAGCAACTATATATTCAATGATCACGAAGCATAAACATGAAGTAAATATGATTTTTATTTTGCACGCAGAAACTAAAGTTAAAATTAGAAAAAAGAACAGCAAAAATTAAAATTACCATATGAAGAGGATGCTTGGTATGCCTATTAAATGGATTTTAAATAAGTTTTAAGCTAAAATTCTTCAAACACATTATAAATGAACTTTAAACTTTGCATCCTCTAATGAATTTTGAATTGTTTTCCTAAACGATCAAAGAGGATTAGCAAGTCATACGTTAGGTACTTCTCGATCTTCGAGATGTCATGTTGGAAGCATTGGCCCTTCATTTAGAGTCTAAGCTGATTGTGATTTTTTAAAGTTTCATGCAGCTTTTCTAAAGCAATTCCCTTATAATTCCACCTACAAATTGTTGAGTTGATGGTTCTCTTTTTAGAGTACTATTTGAGGCTTCAAATTCTGATATTTTAACAATTATGCAAGCCTATGTATGTTTGAAGAGCTAGCAGTTAAAGTAACAGCTAGTGGCTTGAGTATGTTGACGAAGCAGCACAAAAACTTTGGGTTTGTTAAGCCGTTATAAGCTCACATTACATAAATGGAGAACAAAAAATAAAAGTGTTGCTCAAATAAGGACCTATCATATTGGGAAAAAACGTTCATGAAATTGAAAAAAATAACGTTTAAGTTATTTGTCATATGCACATATTGATCTCCAAATCCAAGCAAGGCAATATCCTATTAGCAATCATATTAAATTTAATGATTCTAATCTGGATCTGAATGACTATAAAGTAAATCCAAATACATCATTGGCTATCAAATCAAATCCATCCATGACTTAGCCAAAATATTTGATAAAATATTACAAAATAAATAGTTGTCAAGATATTTTTCATTCTACTTGGGTCATATCACTCGACATACTTTTTATATCCATTCAAATATCAAATCAATTGATCAAATTCGTTCAGATAAATAAAAATTTTATAAAATTTAATACAGTGTGAACATTTGAGCCCTTAACTCAGTAACTTCTCTCAGAGCTCAAACAGAAATGTAAGGTCCATATATCAACGCTGGCAATCAATCCTTAGCCCCAAGTAAAGCATGCAGCGGGTTATAGTGAAACTATAAGAAGATAGGTGGCGCTACCGCAGTCATTGATGCCACCATGGCAGCCATTCGCCATCTCCGCTAGCCCCAGCTTCAACTCACCGACGATGGTCACTGCCCAACACAGTCATTGAGCATCACTGTCAATTGCCATTGGTCGCCACTGGCCACCACTCAAAGGTTTTACAATACATTATTTTTTCAGTGTGCTCACCCAAACACAAAATGAAAAATTCATCCATTTTTAATGTATTCATGCAAATAATAATATTTACTTTTCAATATAATACATTTCCTTTTCTCTGCACTTTCAAGCTATATTCTTTTTCAGCAAACAAACAGCCCCCTGGTTTAAAAGAAATCTATGAGGAAGACGAGCCTAATAAAGATGTTATTAATCTGCCATCATGAATAGTCATAGACTTTAATTGAATTAATTAGCAAAGGTAGTCAACCGAATCTAAATAAAAGAAGATATGAGTTCCCGTGTCCAAAGAGGCTTAACAGATTCTATATTCAAACTTTTTTTTTGTTTTTGTTTTTTTTTTTTTAATGGATGAAAATATGCATTCCACTTTGCTTGGACCATATCAATTCCACTCAACTTTTTATTTCCACTTGAATATCCAAAAAGGCCATGGTTCAACCCTCATACCTATGTAAAGTTTGTGGAATTTTAAAGGGGAGCTATAAAATTGGTAAAAAGAAGTAAATTGCTTCACAAGAAAGATTAAGTAATGAAAAAGCACAACCCAATTTTTAAAATTGTGCAATTGGGTATTAAGATATTTTTTTTGTTTACATTAGTGAAGCGAGTGGTAAGCCTTGAAATGGTTTGAGGTGTACGCCTCACAAATTGAAATTTGCATAAGTCAAAATAAAGAGATAAAAATAATATAATAGAATCTTCATCTATAACGAAATTAGTATTAGCTAACTTTTTTTCATTTTGTTGCTACTTATATTTAACCTCCCCCTATGCTTGCTTCATTACCTATTTTTATATATATATATATATATATATATATAATAAAGAAAGACATAATAACATTCTAGCATGATAAAAAACAACAAATTACATTTATATTAAATAATAAATTGCATAAACTACAAAATATCATGCGGCAACTTCAAAAAATAAAAATATAATGTTAAAATCAACTACTCAAGTATCAAACTAACATAAATATATAAAATAAAAGATGAGTTTAGCATAATAAACTTCTCTCATTCCTATTGTCCAATGAACATAATAACATCCAAAAATTTAAATAAAAAACATAATAAATAATCATAAGATGGAGCAATAGGCGACCGTGGAGGCAGCAAGAGCAGCTAGTGGCAGTAGCAAGAGTTGGCGACGGCAGTAGCAAATGACGGTACCTACAAAAGTAGTAGACGGTGGTGGCTGCAACAAGAAGATAAATATAGCAGAAGCAGACAGCTGTTGTAGAAGATAAATGTTGTTTATTTGCTAATGTAGTAGACGATGGTGGCTGCAACAAGAAGATTAATCTACCAATGTAAGCAAAGCATTTATCTTCTGATTTAATTAAATCTAAATACCTATAGCAAAAGCAGGCGACTGCTGTAGCAGGAGCAACAAGCAATAGTGGTGGTGCTGACACTAGAAACAACAAATGACGGTGGTGGTACAAGCAACAAAAGCAGCAAACAGCGATGCTGGGAAGTTTGATTGTGGAGAAGAGACCTCCTGTGCATGATAATGCGACTTTGATTCATATTTCAACTGTCTAATAAAGAGGAAAAAAATCTAAGCGCGAGAGGAACACACCTTAGTGGACTTGCGGCGAGGCTCGCCTTGAGGCAGGACTCAACCAATGTGAGGCATACGCCTTGCCTGAGCTCTTCGAGGCATATGCCTTCAAGCATTTTTCTTCAGAATTAGGTTAAGAAGGGCCACATATTACATAATTTTAAACAATGGTTCTACCTAGAGATTTTAGACTCGTACATAGACTGCATGTTACTAGTTTGAAGGTTTTCCATAAGCACAAACTCCACGATTAATTCCCTCACTTGTTAGAGAAGGAACTTTAAATAAAGGTCAACTGAGTAAGATCTTAGATAGATTTGTGTTATGATGCCTTTCTTAAAGCAGAAGATAAATGCTATGCTTACATGCTTCAGGTAGATGAGTTTGACAAACATCCAAGGGGAAGACAGACCTAATTAAAATTGTAGAATCCGGAAAGTAATTTTATTACATTGCATCTCATATATTATACTACACGACATATATATATAAATATTAAAAAAAAAACAAAATAGGAACTCCTCTAAATAGGGAAGAACATAAAAAAGGAAATATAAATAAAACAAAACATCATTAATGGAGAATATTCTAAGAGGAAAGAAAAAAATTCTTCAAAATAAAGATTTGTGCTTTCCTACAATCCCCCTCAAGCTAGATTGTTTATATTGTACAAACAAAGCTTGAACTTAAATCTTCACGACCAACCCTTAGTAATCCTTTGATGACAATATAAATTATTTGAAATCTTGTGGAAACATAGCAAAAGCTAAACAATTCTATTGTTAACATTTTCTAAAAATGAAGTGTCGGTCAATCTTAATGCATTTTGTTATGTCAAAATACACAAGTTTCATAGCTATAATAATAGTTGTTTGACTAACACTAGACATCTTGATTATGTCTTTTCTCTGAACCTGAGGCTCTTTAAATAGCCTTTGAATCCACATTCCCACATATATTCCTAGTGCAAGAGCATGAAATTCAGATTATGCACTGCGACAACAAATTATTTTTGCTTCTCCACGTGACAAAATTGCCCCTGACGCATAAACAATATCCAGTGATTGATTCTCTATCAATTATCTCTCCCGCCCAGCCAACATCTCTGTATACCTCAATCTCACGGCTTTCAATTCTTTTGAAGAGCAGACCATGTTTTGAATTCATTTTTAAGTATCTCAAGATTTTGTTTGCTGTTTCCTTATTCATGTGTTTACTTACTAGACTGACTGAGTATGCAATATTGATTTACTGCAAGAGAGTAGAAATCGAAACTATATTAAGTTTAGCAATATGTGCAAATATTTCCTGATAATCAATCTTATATGATTGTCTGAATCCTTGGCTCTATTATGACTTTGAAGCTCTCTACACTTTTATCTCTGTACTTGATTGTGAATATCCATTTGCAGCCTACAAGGTTTTCTCCAAGAGGCAATTTTGTCAGTGTCCATGTATTATTCTTTTCTAGAGCATGAATTTCATTCTCAACTGATTGTTCCCATGTAGGAACTCTTAAAGCTTCTTGGATAGAGTTGGGAACCTACACACTATCAAGGTTTCTCACAAACACTTTGCAAGATGATAGTAAGTTCCAATAAGTTGCATATCTTTCAATCGAATGATCAGTGTGCCCTTGAATACATTTTTTTTGTATGATTGGTTGATTAAGTTCATCAATAAATGGTATAAGAGAGTCATGAGATGACGAATCCATACCATTATGATTATCAGAAGTAGGAGCATTTGGTTATGGCTCCTGACAATCCTAAGTTTGCATAGTATCATCTACATGCTCAGTGGTCCTTCTAGTGTAGACATAAATTTCCTGCGCATTGGTGTGATGTTGAGATGGAGTGGAGATAATTAGGACAGCTTCGATGACAGAGTTTAATTGTTCCAATAGAGTTGGTTGAGTGACAAGGTTTTGTTCATTTGAAGAAAAAATAACTTGAGTGTCTTGGAAAAGTTCTCAAATCTGATATTCCCTCAAGTTCTCCCCCTAAATTCCATATTTGAAAAAAACAAGATTGATTCTAAAAGAAAGTGACATCCATGGAGTTATAAATTTTTCAAATAGTTGAGGGGTAATATTTGTACCCTTCTTGATTGGAGGTGTTGTGTTGTTGGTGGATGTGAATAAAGGTAGAACAATCAAAGATCTTAAAAGAGAGCGGATGTGTGGATAGGATTTCATGAGAACATTACAAAGAATTTGAAATTGTAGGACTCGACTAGGCATCCAATTAATGAGATATGTGGTTGTGAGAGTGGCATCTCTCAAAAAATGCATTGGTACATGATTAAGCAACATAATGACACGGGTCACTTCAAGTAAGTGTATATTTTTCTTTTAGGCGGCGTCATTTTATGAAAAGTATTTCAAGAAATACAGGAGGAGGAGAAAACTAAAAGCGATATCTTACATATTGAAAGAGAGATACAGTACAGGGAAATAAAAAATTGATATATAAGCCACGAAAGAATAAAGACCACGAAGAACATAAAGAGAGGAGGTTGAAAAGTAACAAAAAAAATCAAAATGATAAAATATCAATACAATTGTACTTAGCGTAGTTATCATTTAATCTCAAACTGATGTTGTCGAATTGCAAAGTGAATTTGTGAGCTTATTGAAATATGGAGTTGGTAAAGATTTAGCGAGTATGTCCACAGGTTGATCATTAGTGGAGATGTAAATGAGCATGATTTCTTTGGAATGTAGATGCTCTCGTATAAAATGATAACCATTTTCTATCTAATTAGTTCGGGCGTAAAAATAGGATTATGAGCTAGAGCCATGACTAAAATAGTCTTAGTAGATTACAGTTGGTTGTTGAACGGTTATCTAAAATTCTTGAAGTAGACGTCGAAGCCAGATGGCGTCCATGAAAGAAGAGGCAAGGGCCCCGTATTATGCTTCCGTAGAAGGCTTGGCGACAATTTGTTGTATCTACGCTGCCAAAATAGAAGATTATGACCCAAGTAAGAACAGTTTCTTGTAATTGAATGACGATATGCTTGATCACTGGCCCAACTCGCATCAAAGTATGAACTGAGAGTAAGAGGACCAAGTTTGATGGGAAGACCAATGCTGAGGGTGCCTTTGATATACCTTAATACTCTTTTGAGATTTTGAAAGTGAATGCAAAGAGGTTGATGTATGTGTTGAGATAGTTGATTAGTAACAAAAGAGAGATCAGATCGAGTGATCGTTAGATATTGAAGTGACCTAACCAATCATTCATAAAGTTTAGGATTATCAAATGGTTGTTGATGTTCTGAAGTAGATATAATATTGGATGCAAGAGGATTTAAAAGTGGTTAACAATCACTCATCCAAGCTCTTTGATGAAATTCAACAGCATAGTGCCTGAGATAGAAAGAAGTTATTATTCTTGTGTTACACGTTGATGCCAAGAAAAGTTGATACTGGTCCCGGGTTTTTCATATAAAACTTTCTCTGTAGGTCACTTAGAAGTTGTTGAATGAAGTTAGTGTCATTACCCATAAGCAAAGTGTCGTCGATATAACATAAGAGATACACAGTGCTGGAATGCTGGTAAATGAATAAAAAAGGAATAGATTGGTTGTGGATAAACCCTTTCTAATGAAGGTGTGGAGTGAAGGTTGTATAACATTATCTCGGAGCCTGTTTGAGACCATAGATAACCTTTCTTATTAAACATATGCGATGTATAAATTGAGTATCAATGTACCTCGGAGGTTGTCGCATGTAAATGGCCTCCTCAAGGTTTCCATGTAAAATGGCATTAACAACATCTAGTTGCAGGACTTGCCATTGATGATGTATAGCCAGAGTGAGAGGAATTCTGATTGTTGGAAATTTGGCAAAAAAACTAAAAGCGCACTTGTAACTAAGACCAAATTATTGTTGATACCCTTGAGCCACTAATCTGGCTGTGACAGACTATAGAACCATCAGTATTACTCTTTATCTTGTAAGACAATTTGGGTCCTAGAATGTTCTCATGAGCGGGAGTTGGAACGAGCATCCAAGTGCCTTGAGTTCATAAAGCGTAAAGTTCTTCTTCCATAGCTTGTTTCCAATGATTATTCTTGGCAGCTTGAGTGTAGGTATAAGGAACCTTCTTTGAACCGTGAGTATGCTGAAGACTGAGGTGAATTTTGGGTGAAAGATGGCCTGATTTGGAACGTACAACTATTTTATGTCGAGGGATGTGTGAGTAATGATAGGATGGCAGATAGATGGTAGAGGTAAGGCATAAGATGTCTGAGAAACTGTGGAAAAAGAATGAGTAATTTCGGCTGAAATGAGTGGTTGATGCATTGCAACCAAAGATGTGGATTTAATTGATGTCGATAGGAGGGTGAGAGGACGAGGAGGAAAGGTATTAGCAGAAGTGTTGTTTTCAGTGGTGTGAATTTTTCTGTAAGGGAAAGTTTGCTCATCAAAAAGGGCATTGCTAGATGGACTTTCTTGTAATTGAGTTAAAACATCTGTATTGTTCCGTGTGTTCAGGTTAGCCAATAAAATGCATGTTGAAGCTCATTGCCGAAGTTCATTTCGCTAAATATGGGGAATTCAGGGGTAACAAACACAACCAAAAACTTTTAAGGTGTTGACGATTGAGTCCTGTCTTGTATAACTTGTATTAAGGTGATTTATTTTGAATTATAAGAGAAGGCATCATGTTTATTAGATGGATAGAAGTGGTGACGGTTTCTACCCAAAGTGAAGGAAGACTGGAGTCAGCAAGTAGAGCTCTAGTGGTATCAAAAATGTGTTTGTGCTTGTGCTCTACAATACCATTCTATTGAGAGGTATGGGCACAAGTTATTTGATGAATGATACCTTGATTATTTAAATATTGATTGAAGTGATGATTGTTATATCCACCAACCCCATTCGTTCTCAAAATTTTGATGTGGTTATTGAATTGAAGTTCAACTTGTTTCTCAAATTTGAGAAAAATAGAAACGGCATCAAATTTATGCAGCATAGGTAATATCCAAGAATATCTAGAATTATCAGTACATAATACTTATAGCCTTGTAAAGATGAGTGAGGAGATGGCCCTCAAACATCAGAGTGAATCAACTCTAATGATTGATAGGTATGAC